TGGCAAATTCTACAAGGCAAAAGATTTAACTAAGATTTTTCTTTTTAAATTGAAAAAATTCCACCTCCTTTACAAACAAATTATTATGGCTGTATTAACCTATTGTCCTATTCCATCTTATATACATTTATATTTTTTTGTTCTTCAGCATAGGTTTTGAAAACTATTTTCCATCTTCTATACATCTGAAAGTTTTCAGATTTTTTTTTATAAGTAAAAAAAAAATTAAGTCAATTAAAAGCAAACATTAGACTATCTCCCCTTTCGCCAAATGGCAGTAATTACAGATTATAATACCGTTATCTATTTATTTTAACCCAGTTTTAATAATTACTGATTATTACAGTAATTTAATAAATATATAATTAGTGATTATAATTAATAATTAATGTTATTATAAATATTGTTAATAAATAGATATTTACTTTAAATTAAAATTATAAATATAGTTATTAATAAATATTGTTAATGAATTTAGTAACTCGGTTTTAATAATTACTGATTATTACAGTAATTTAATAAATATATAATTAGTGATTATAATTAATAATTAATTTTATTATAAATATTGTTAATAAATAGATATTTACTTTAAATTAAAATTATAAATATTGTTAATGAATTTAGTAACTCGGTTTTAATAATTACTAATTATTACAGTAATTTAATAAATATATAATTAGTGATTATAATTAATAAWTAYTGYWATTATAAATRTTGTTAATAAATAGATATTTACTTTAATTTTACTTTAAATTAAAATTATAAATATAGTTATTAATAAATACTGTTAATAAATTTAGTAACTCGGTTTTAATAATTACTGATTATTACAATAATTTAATAAATATATAATTAGTGATTATAATTAATAATTACTATTATTATAAATATTATTAATAAATAGATATCTACTTTAATTTGACTTTAAATTAAAATTATAAATAACGTTATTGATAAATATTGTTAATACATTTAGTAACTATTGTTATATTAAAAATAATTAAAAATGTTATTAAAAGCAATGTTTTAAAAAATGACCCAAAAATGGAACCATTTAGGCCACCAGTTTCTGGGTTGATGGTCCAACCGTCCGGTTTGAACGGACGGCCGGTTTTGACAAACAAATTAAATAATAATAATAATAATAATTAAAAAAAAATGGTGAAAAACCATTGAACGGGTCGACGGTTTAACTGCCCAAGTTAACGGTTTGTTGACTTTTCCAACGGTTTTTTACCAAAACCAAGTTTTGGGTAAAACGAAATCAGTTGCCTGGATGGTTCCCGGACTGAACGGTCTAACCATCCGGGTCAACGATGGTTCAAAAACCTTGATTAAAAGTATTGTTATTGATTATTTCATAAAATATTATAATTACTGACTATTACTGATAAATACTATTAATTCAATTTAATTTTGATTATTATTAATTTAATGGATTTTGTTAATAAATCCTATTCATAAATTTAATAATTATTGTTATATTAAAAGTAACTAAATAATACTATTAAAACTATCATTACTGATTATTTAATAAAATATTATAATTACTTACTATTATTGATAAATGCTATTAATAATTAAATATTTAATAAATAATGTTAACAAAAATCAGCAAAAATAATGTTTGTCTTTTTGCTTATTGAATTTATTTGGTTTAAATTTTTGGGTTTTGTGCTTTGAAGATTGTTACATAATGTTAGTTAAAAATGCTATTTGCATTTAGCTAGCTTAATGAATTTCTTAAAGGTTCTAAATATCGACGGCCTGTGTCAATGCTTTCTTTTTATGTTTTACTTAATTTTTTGAAATCGGTTCAGAGGGGCCAGTTTTAGGCATGGCTACCCTTTGAACCAATGGCTGACTCAATACAACCCCCTGTAGAGGCATATCGGGAAGCCACTGGCACGATACGTATCAGCCGATATAGGCCAATATGTGTTGATATTTAAACCTTGAATTGCTTTGGTTTACATTTATAGATTTTGTGCTTTGAAGATTGTTACATGTTGTAAGTTAAAAATATTGCTATTTGATTTTTTTTTTGTTTGAAATTAGATAACTGTTATACCTAAAATTGTCAAATATTGTAACAATAACAATTGTTAAATAATTATAAAAATTATCAAATATAAATTAAAGGAAATTACCATTATTAGACATAAATTACCAATATTTATAAAAAATTACTAAAAATAAATCAAAAGAAATTATCACAAATTAGTAGACTTTAGGACGATAATTACTTGAAATTATCAAATAATATAATCCTAAATACATTAAAATAATTTGCCAAAAATTATCATAAATTAGAAGAAATTTCCAAAAATAGCCACTAAATTCCATAAAATTGATAAATTACTATAATTTACCAATAAACTATCATATAATAAATATAATACATTAGTATATATTTACCAAGAAATTAGTATATAATAGAAATTACCAGAAATTAATAGAAATTATATAATAGAATTAATTTCCACTAATTGACCAATAAACTATCATATAATAAGTATAAAAAATAAGTATATATTGACCAAGAATTCTCATAAATTAGTATAAATGAAATTACCAGAAATTAGTAGAACTTAGCCAAAAATAACCACTAATTTCCATAAAATATTATATTTACCAAGAATTATCATAAATTATTATATAATAGAAATTACCAGGTGATGGAGCATGATCTGACTACTCCTAGCTGGAGGATGATTCGGACTCCAGGTAGATGGCGAGCTGAATCGGTCTACAAAACAATTTATTAGAGAACCTGGGGTAGCTAACCCGGCGAGGTTGCTCCGATGCTTAAGTCAGTATGCTGTAAATGTGAGCTGAATGCTTGAGAGCTTGAGTGCTAGAGAGTAGAGTAATCATGCGTACCTTTGCCTTGTGGTTCCTGTCTTTATATATTGGAGTAGTCGTGGGTATCACGAAAGAGCTCTGGGATCTCTAGGGTGTGGAGATAAGGTTTGTTCTGCTTTTGAAGGAGCGGTATGTAGATAAGGCTTATCGTTTCACCTTCGACTCTGGCAGAGCTGGGACGAGTTCTTGGGATCTGTTAGCTCATTGTGATATCGAGAAACTTGGGATCTGTTGGAGAGGCCTTTGGAGTCGGTTACATAGCCATTCAGGTCATTAGCTCCGAGCTGGTACTTCAATTCTTTAGTCTCGAACTGGATTGGATACTGAGGTGCCTCTACCCCGAGGTGGGTTTTGGGCCGAGGTGGCTGAATACCCGAGCTCCAAATGTTGTGAACTAGGCTCGCCATGCTGAGCTATCATCCCTTGATCAGATTGCGCCCATGTGTCCCCTTCTTGCTAGGTCATGCCAAGTTACCCTTCATCACCAGGAATTAGTAGAACTTATGGAAAAATAACCACTAATTTCCATAAAATATGATAAAATAGATGAAATTAGTATAACTTTGTAAAAAAAAACATTAAATTCCAAAAATTAGTAGAACTTAGGATGATAATTATTTCAAATTATTAAATAATATGAACCTAAATAAATTATAATAATTTGTCAAAAATTACATTTCTTTTTCCCGTGCATCGCACAGGTCCCCGCTAGTGTTTGATTTGAAGGAAAAATGTAGGAAAGGAAATGAAACATGTACAAACCTTATATAGGTTTTCCTACCTTTTCATTCAAACCAAACACAGCCTAAGGTCCATCCCAAAGAAACAAACGTGGACTTTTGTAGCTACTTCCAAATTTTTTTCATCTCTAGATGTTTGTAGTGGAGACTTGGAATCAAATTCTGTTGCCACTCGGTTGTGGGAGGGGGTTAAGACTAAAGAGAATGTGATGGGCTATCCTGTTTGTGTAATCCCAATAACATGAGCACCAAAAAAATAGCCTTTTTTCCTAACTTTACCCTAATCAGTAAGGCAGATCAATCTAAAGTCTAGTTCTAAACTAAAGGTTCACTTCCAAGAGCCGAAGCTTTGGTTGAGCTGCTTTTACTAACCTACTTTGAAGAAACTACTAAAACAATCTTTACTGAAAAACCAAATTTTTTCGATTGAATGGCAGTGTATTTGGGCTTTCTGGGTTTTCTTTGGACATAAGCTCCCCACATGGGACCTGCATTTATAAAGCTAAAAAGCACTACATGAAAGCCCTTCCAAATGGACAATAATTTCAAATTTATTTCAATTGAAGGTGCCAACTAGCTCTATAGAAAGGTATTTGGCTGATTGTAGCAGAGACTTTAAGATTCAATTTCACCTTCACCAAGGTTGTGGAACTAATGGATTTGGGGATGGATTACTCTCATTGTGTAGTCCTATGAATAAAAAGAAAAAAAGATATTGAGGGCAATTACTTTTTACCCCATACACATGGTAATCTATCATGCCCAATTGCCCAAAGAAATTTCTCAACAGCCAAAGTTTTGATGTCAGATCTCCTACCCACAAGAACTCTGCCTCAGGACTATTCACAGAACACTATCCCTGTGCATTGAGAACATTTCGCTGTATATAATACTATGTAAAGAATGAGACGTTCTTCATATGTGGCTGCGATGTTACGTGGGCAAAGTTCTTGTAGGTTTAGGCGTATGAAAGATGCCACGGATACTTTTAATGCTTATGTAAGATTATAATTTCCTCGTGCATTGTGCCATGATACTTATTAATCAGGCTCTCTCAATCGCACGAAAAAAGAAAAAACTGCATCACTTAGACAACAAAAAATATGGCGGATCTTAAAACTCGTCACCTACACCTGTCACTACTAATCTCTTTTATAATCTCTTCCTTTTTTTTTTTTTTTCTTTTGTCTTTAATATTTTAATAGTGGCTTTAAAAATAAAAAGAAGAGAGAAAAAAGGGCTTTAGTATTTGTAGTGTTTTATTTTGCTGGTGACCTATAATTAACCCACTTGTACTGGACTAACTCAACTCAACCCCTAGTTTGTGAACCAGGGTTATGTATGAAGAAGGCCCTCTATAAATTTGAGTTTGAGTCTGAGAGAGAGCAGTGGCTCTTATTTGTGGAAAACCCTAATATACTGATCCAAGTCCAAGTTGACCATCTTAACACCCTATTTTGAGTTTAGTCCGAGGACCAGGAGTAGGACAGAGGAGGGCATTGGAAGAAAAGAAGGAAAAAATAAAAGGAAAGAGGGGGGGGGGGGGGTGTGAAAAGGGCCGAGACATGGCTTTGGGGGGAAGGGTCACTCCCAACTAAAGTACTGGTACGTCTGTCTTTCTCTAAATGCATCTTTTCCAAGTGACAAACTAGAATTTGAACTGATGCTGCATCTGTTCAGTGTTCAAACATTAAAAAGCCCTCGCCATTTCTTTGGCGTTTTTGCAGCCACGAAATGGGAGGGAATGTGTGTGCGTGTGTATGAAATAATGGGCGGGACAACAATGGGAGAAAATACGGGGAGCGCAAAAACTGCTCTCGTGCCCTAGATCAATCACTTCCCGCCAAAAACTTTTATATCTCTCTCTCTCACTCTGAGTAGACCCCGGAGCGATAATCGGTATCGTTATTTTTTTTCTTGTTCTTATCTTTTTCGTATTTTATTCCTTTAAAATTTTCTTTTCCATTGTTGTTCATATCAATCGTATGATAGAGGAAAAAAAGAAAAAAGAAAAATCACAAGTGAAAAACGGATTTCTCTGTTTCGTTAGGGTTTGAATTCGAAATCCATGGCAGGATGGTCGATTTTAACTGATGGGTCTGCTCTAGATCGCGCTGAAGTCCTTCGACATCTTCAGAGTAATGGCTTCTGCTTGGATCTCGATGCTTCACTGAAGGGGAGTGTAGATAGTGGTTGTAAAGACAAGCTCCGATGTCTATTCGATCAGATTCTTTCTGTTTTTCTAAAAGAGATCTCTACCGGTGGAGATCTTCGGCCTTTACCTCTAATGCTTGGTGATGGGCGGTTTGTAGATTTGTTCAAACTCTTCTGGGTTGTGAGGAAAAAGGGCGGATACGATTGTGTGTCTAAGAATAGGTTGTGGGCTTCCGTGTCAGAAGAGGTTGGCTTGGGTTCGGGCGTCACGTCTTCTGTGAAGCTGGTTTATGTAAAGTATTTGGATACGTTAGCTCGATGGTTACAGAGAATCTTTAGAAATAAGGGCTTTACAGTAGGTTTATCGGACTGTGGTGGTAACTTGGGTTTGTTTTCCGTGGAGTTAGAGACCGAATCCATAGTTATGCCGTCCCAGATGTCAGAGGAAAAGAAGAAAGAAGGTGATTCGATTAAGTTGGATTCAGCTAAGAACGAGTTTCATTTGTTAGCCGCGGAAAACACGTGTAACGCACCTGAGATAAGAAGTGTGATCGAGTTGGACAGTGACGAGAAACTTGCTGACGACGAGGAAGATGTTATACTCTTGGATAAAAGCCTTGTTAATGAAGATTCATTTTCTCGTAAGAGAAAGCGAGAGTCTCTATCAGGAATGCTGAATTGGGTGACCGAGATTGCCAAGAATCCTGGTGATCCTGCCATTAAAATGTTACCAGAATGGTGTGGAGGTAGCGACTCCTGGATGCACGCTCTGTTGGCACGTGAGGCATTATTTCTAAGAAGGCAAATTCCTTCAAGTTCTGTACAGTCTCTCTTGCAGGTAAATATCAATCTTACAGTTATATTTGACTTCAATGCAAAATTTTGCATCCAAAAAGAAAATACGTGGAGGGTATGTAATGTTTAATAACTGTTTTTTGCATATGGGTTTTGATGAAGATGCTTTATTATCAGCATGAGGCATGATTGCCTATCTTATAATACGGTTTCATAGAATGATTAACGCATGCAAATTACGTCATCTCAGAAAGAAAAAAACATTCTAATTAAGTCGTGTTTTCTTCTTTGTCTTCATCATTTTTGTCTAAACCATATCCCTGCTATCTGGGGTGGCTATGCTACCTTTGTAATCCCATTCTAAGTTATGGATTCATAGAATGGTTAAAGCATGCAAATTAAGCCCATCTCTAAAGAAAAACATTCTAAGTAAGTTGTGTTTTCTTCTTTGTTATCGTCATGTTTGTCAAGGCCACGTCCCAGCTGTCTGGGGTGGCTATGCTACCTTTGTAATCTCATTCTAAGTTATGGATTCTTTGTTAGGATTGGCCTTAAAATCCTTTCTCAATACTTGAATACATGTTTGGGAAAAACTTCCTCCACCTAAAACTAGGCTACAAATAGATCAAATTCAATTCAAATTAGGGCATATATGAATTTTATTTGTTAGGATATATGCAATATCTGATATCTTAATCTGATTTAGGGCCTATTTGGCGCATCTTTTTGGGAAGATCTTCTGGTAGCTCTGACAGTCAAAAGATGTATTGAGCTTTTGCATGAATATTTGAGCAGCCCGAAGCTAGTTTGGCAGTATTACGTTTTTTCGTGCGTCTTTTTGTGTGAGAATAAAACGCGAAAGACGCAAAAAACTTCATTTGGAGCTTCCCGAAATCAGCCCAAAATGGGCTTCTCGCATCTTTTTGGTGCTCCAGATTTTGGCGGCTAGATCTTCCACGAACCAAATGGGAATAGACCAAANAAATTCAGTCTGCCCGGCATGTAAATCCCGAAATCAGCCCAAAATGGGCTTCTCGCATCTTTTTGGTGCTCCAGATTTTGGCGGCTAGATCTTCCGCGAACCAAATGGGAATAGACCAAAATTCGGTTTGCCCGGCTTGTAAACAGCTGAAAGACCGCGCGGAAAGACGTGCCAAACGGGCCTTTAATATTTGGCGAGAAAGTGAGATCTGATTTGGTTCAATTCGTACAAAATTAGTAACATGTAAAAAAAGAATAAAAGACAAAAATTTCCATATCTGCAAAACAAATTTAAGAAACAAGTTGGTATCATACATTCTGTGTTTAACTTGGAAGGTTCTGGTACACAAGATATTATAAAGAGTAATTTATCAGAAAAGAAAAGATATTATAAAGAGTAGGAGAAATGGATCTTACGTCTCACGACAAATTGCACCATGAATAACAAGCAGTTCTGAATCATAAACGGCAGGTCCTAATAGAAAAACTTAAAGCTAATTATCTTTTCTTTGTTTTTAAAGGAAAAAGTGGTTAATTCTGTCTCACATGTAACGAGAGAACTCATAATGAACTTGGCCTCAAAGATGGTGATCTTCATCTTCTTCCCAACACAATGCAAGCTGATTTTGCTGAAATTTGATAATTACCCAATCATAAAACAAATTTTGAACTTTAAACTCCAATAACCAAAAACACAAAGCCCCCATTTTCCTTCTTGGTTTATAGAGAAAAAAATGAAAGTATAATTCTCTTTTCTGTAAGCCTAACAAAAGCAGAGAAAAAAGAACTAACTTCAAAACTCTGACAGATATTCTCCAAGAGATGAGATTCTTGGTCAGGAGTCAACTCCCTATGTGCTATAGATGAAGTGGGAACAATATAGTGTGCGAGAATTGAACATGATTGATCCTTGGTGGGAACTCAGTATCACCACTTTCCGTAACCCTAAACACTGAGAGAAAAGAAGTTATGGTTTAGAATGCGAGAAATTATGTCTTAAGTTTTCTTAGCTCTGGCCCTCCAATTAAAATAAGATACTTGTGGAGAGTCATTGTGCCAACTGCCAAAAAGAAAAAGGCCAAAGGTTGGGTCTATATCTAGTCCACCCCTCCCAATACCCTAGACAATTGGAACCAACATAGGGTAAAACCCTTTTAAACCTGTACAGTATGGCTGATCAAGTGCTGGGCCAGGTTTTTACAGGGCATTAACAGTCTTGGGGCCTGGCCCAGTCCGCACCCTGAGCCTGATAATACTTGTCTGGGTCCAGTTCTGGTTAATGTCTTAAATATATTAAAAATAATATTTTAGTTTACTTTTATAATCAGAATTACAAAAAAAGTATCATGTTAATATATTATACCACATATGTGATAAAATACTATATATACCATATATGCATATATTCATGCCATATACCATGTATACACACCGCATTACATGCATTCCGTACATATACATATACTTCCATACATACATACATACATAACATCTATATATATATATATCTGCTTATTATTGGAGCAATTTCAGATAATGCCCCAATCTGATTCAACAAGAGTTCTATTCATTTAGCATATTCATAGTAGGCCTTGGTATTACTTTGCTGCCCTCAAGTAGATGGGCATGTGGCTATACAGTAGGGATGGCCGTTTATGACTTGGCCCGGAAATTTTATATATATATATATATATAGTAGTATATATAGTAGGTCTGGGAACATCCAGGCAACTTTCCTTGGGTTTGTTACTTGGGGGAGCTATTCCAAGTATCTGAAAACTGCTCTTAGATTTTGGTTGTCTTTTCGTAGCATGTCATATATCAGGATGTCCTTGTTTACTTTATATTCATTCCATGTGGTCTTGTTGATTGCTTAGTGTTGTTATTGTTGTCTCGTGAGATGTTCCAAAAGTCTGATTGGTATGAATTTGTGGTGGCATAACACACAAAGTTCCAAAGGCAACCACGTAACTCTAATTTTGTGG